CTGGACAAAAGGTTGTAATAAACAATGAGAGACAATCACCACGTTCTATACGCTTGTGCATGGCAATATGTTGAGGAGCTAAATGCCAATGTAATGGGTTAATTTGGCCTGACGAAGATTGTATCAAGTCGCTGCCGAGTGGCCACACCGGACGAAGGTGATTGCCCTCTGTGAATTCGCTCCAGGTTTTTAACCCCTGCATTGAAACTCAAACACACGAGTCACGCCCCACATTTCTAGATTTGAAGTTTCCGTGACTGCAAGGATCCATATTCTTTGGTTCGTTCGGTAAAGTCACGTAAAAAAAAATAAACGTCGTGATTTAATTTGTTTTCATTTTTATTTTATTTTATATTTCCTGCCCCACATGCCGAACGTACAACAGCACCCACTCAGCGTCGTGGTTGCATAACTAAAGAGGGCCCTCTAGTGACTAGCGAGTCGTCGCCTCAGAATTCTGTCCTGTCACCGTATTATAAAATGAGATACGTATAGGCAGTGCCGGGTTAAGCTCGTGCGGGGCCTGTAGCACATGTTATAAAGGGCCCCTAAATTAAAAATAAACACAAATATTAAAACACACATTTTTTTACTTGCACAGTAAAGTAATTGCATTTTTTTCATAGCCAGATAATACGACAAATGGCTAATCTTAAACACCCAGTCGTTCAGAAAAGTTAAAGGCAGTATAGTAGCGCTATGTAGTAACAGAGCAAGTGCAGAATCACTGAACCGGAATTGATAGCTTGAAAGCATTTAGCGCGGGGCCCTTGAAAGTGCGGGGGCCCGTAGCATTTGTAGCGACTTTTGCTACTAAGATAATCCGCCACTGGATATAGGGTCGGAGATTTCGCGCTTAACGCACTGCACTTCTGGAGGCTCGGTTACCTGGGGTTGTACCTTTGGTCGTCCGCATTGGTTGACCGGCATGGTGAAGTATGACTAAATAACTGCTGTGGGGAAGACCCCGAAGCGCAGTGCATTGACGTAGCCGTTCAATAAGAGCGGGCTGTTATCAAAAGGACACGCAGTTAATTGTTTAAGTTTAAAACATTTACACAGGGCACACGAGTTAAGTCTTATTCCATGCTATGCGTATGGGCAACTGTATTACACGTTTGATAAACAACACAGACGCGTTATGCTGGATGCAATCGGCTTACAATTAATCTTTGTTTGTGCTATTGGCTACTTGTGCAAAATCTGGGAGCAATTGCTTCAATGCAGCTTGTTGACATTCTTGAGGAGGGTTACAGAGTACTGAGTGCATCAGCTTCACTACTTTGGCTTGATGGCAAGCAGGCTCCATCTCACCCTCTTGTGGGGGAGTCCAGACAATGCACAAAGCGATCCCCTTTATCACACGGTGCAAAGTGATGAATTCTCACAGATAAATGACCTTAGGCGATTGCAAAAACGTAAGTGGACTTGTGAAAAGGAGCTTAATAGCTCATTCGATTCCTCCAGGATAAATGCACATTCTGATATCCAGTATATAGGAGACATTATGTCTGCGATATTTCCATTGAGTCGCACACACAGTCTTCAAAGGTGAAGTTTGATGGTGGACGGTGCGGATGAGAGGGCGGTTTTTCCTCTAAGTTACACCCGTTACGTTGTTATGGTTATTGCCGAGGTGAGATGAAACGCAACATCCGTGACGTTAATGAGCAGTCACAGGCAATCCAGCTCCTAGCCCTCGAAAACCGTTCAAGGCAGCCCCGAGGTGAGGCTTAGGCGTGGCTTTAATATTGCCCAGATGAAACCCCTGACCTCATTTTTTTGGGTGTGGCGGGGTGGTCTAGGAGCAACGGTTAACAATTGATTCTGTTGTCCATTGTAGGACATGAATGATGGAAATGTCAAGGAGCAATCATTGGTCTTCCCTTAAAATGCTTTCCTGAGTGCCCTTCTATCTGCACGCAAAAAAACCCCTCTGCGTATCGTACTGTGGGCTATGACAGATGACTCAAAAGTGAGGCCATATATCTTATTCATGGTAAGCACAAATGCCTTTGCTTTCAGACTGAGTGTGATGGATGTCGCGGAGTAGTTAATCTGCGCGGCTTAATTGCAGAGTAAAAACTAATTACGATAACTTGTTGTTTGTTATTACCGAATGAACCGTTAAGTTTAACAGGATAATGAAAAGGCAGGGAAGATATGTTGGTTGACTGGTCTTCTTCAGGAAACATGGAGGTTTATACAGATAGAGATAGGCTTAAATCGAGTGGATAGGTGAAGTTGAGTGGTGGGTGTTATCATGAACACGCTGCGGTTCCAGGAGTCATCAGCATCAAAACATAAAACACACAATTATGCTTTAAAAAGTTACTATGCAGATTATCTGACCGAAGTGTTATATTAGTTGTATCATTGTGCGAGTGTTTGATTAAACCTGTTGTAATGAACAGGACTGAATGTGAATACGCCTCTTGATGAACAAAAGGCGGGCACAGTGTGTTCCTGCATTGCGACATGTTTGAACAGGGCTATGCAGAATACTAACGGATGGTTTAAAAAAAAAAGTGTATATATACACACACGCGTAAACTAGCGATACATACATATCCCACACGTATAAACCGCATGTCTGTGACGACAACAACAACCACCATTCGCCACTAAGTGGCGGTGACGTCACCACCACGACGTTTGTGCCAGGCTAGGTGCACCCTGAGGCCACGTGAAGTGTTGAACGCCCGCTGGCAGGAGGTCACGGGGCAGACCCAGGTGCCACGGGTCGACTGACTGAGATGACTGAGATGACTGGCTGATGCACCACCTGTGCCCCCTACTGTGCCAACTTGATGTGCTTTAGCCACCCGGCGCTCCGCTCGTTGTTGTGAGGGTCGCTCCTCCACCCTCCGTTGTTGTTGGAGGGCGACTGCCTCCAACTGCCCAGTAGCAGCGTCCTTCACGAGCCTCCTCCACAGAGGCCGATCTTGACACCGCTGGTAACAATCATCGGCAAGTCCACTCAGCTCCACATCTTCACCACATCACTCCATCTCTTCTCTAGCCCGTGCCGCGCCCGCTTAGTCCCCTCGATCCGGCCGAACAAAAGCTGTTTCGGCATGCGGTGACTGGGCATGCGGGCTACATGACCCAGCCAACGCAGCCTTGCTCGCCGGAGGAGCTCACCGATGGGACCTTTCCCAGATCTTTCAAGGATTTGTGAGCTCCTCACACAATCCAGCCTGGTTAAACCCAGGATGGATCGTAGGCAGGCTAGCCTAAATGTTTATAACCGGCGAAGATGTTCCATTAGGGGGGCTCCACGTTTCACAAGCCGAGAAGACCTGAAGCTTCGTGCGGAGCGACAGACCAGGTAGCTTCCACACAGCATTACGCAACCGATGAAAATATATTGCCGCTCGACTGATTCGGAGTGAGACCTCTGCTGTTAAAATGGAGCCAGTCATGAGCACACTGCCCAGGTCTGGGAAACTCTCCACTCTCTCCACAACTGCCCCATCACCAATTGTGAGTTGTGGGTGTGGAGTGTCCGATGGTACAAAATACCCAGGCAGGTGCTTAGTTTTGGTGGGGCTGATGGTAAGGCCCCACCTCTTAGTGGCAAGCTCCAGGTTCAGCAGCAGCGCCTCCAATTCCTCCTCTGAGTGAGCAGCAATTACCAGATCATCAGCGTACATAACATGGTTGAGCAATAGGGAGCAATTCCTTGACCTCACCCGGGCATCGATCAGCCTCCATTGTATCTGTATCAGATGGAAATTCCTCCGGTATAGCCGTCGAAGGCTTCACGAACTACGTGGTCGAAATAGATGTTAAATAATGTGGGAGCCAGAGGACATCCCTGTCGCACCCCAAGGTGAACAGGGAATGGTTCTGACTCCCGGCCACGTAGTTTTACCCGGGCCCACTCACCATCATGAAGGTCCTTAATGATTGTGAGCAGAGGGTCAGGGACTCCGAAAGCACGAAGACACACACATGCATAGATTATGGATTTACATTAAATATGCACGTGCATGCTTCAGTTAATATTACCATATATGTGAATGATTTAAACATTTAGTATTTTTCGATTGTGACGATAAATAGTCAATGTGTTGACAACATTTATAGATATTTTTATTTGGACGCTCTACAGTTGAGGAATTCCACTTGGGCAAAACACTAATACAATACTTGATGATCTTGATATCAGTTTTTTTTTTAATTACATTGGCTGGCTGAAGCATAGAGTGTTGGGTGCATGTGGCTTAAGATCAGAAGGTTGCTCTGGGGTTGATAAAAAAAAAACTATATATGTTGTGGAAAGTCATCAGTGGTTATTTGATGAGTAATCACCCCGACCAAAGGAACGTGGAATTTACACCAATGACTCAGGGATGTAAACATGATAAGATGCGCGCAGCCCAATGGTAATTTGTAGTGGCTAACCGCTATTTAGTCACATCACTTGGCTTCGTGGCCATAGCCACCAATGCCACGCGATTCGCATTTGCAATACGACCGCACTCATGCCGCATAAAGGAAACTCATATATTGAAGTGAACACAAAAAAAAAACCCACCAATCCGACCGTGTGTAACTATCGGCACTTCATGTCATACAAACCCCCTTGCGTTCTGCGTCGAGCAATTTTTTTTTTCACGGGCAGCAACAAAAGCACTCGAAGCAGAAGCGCGCGCCGATCCCAGCTGCGAGGGCAACATTTAAAGCGGCCGAGAGTGCAATGGATTGACGCTTTTCAGCCAGCCTCGACTGGCGGGACGGAGAGAGGGCCCCCGCAGAGGGGACTAGAAGCCAGCAAACCGCGACGACAAAGGATAAAAGGAGCAGGTGAGGGTGCTTTGGCGAGGGCCTGGAGGGCGAGGGCAAACATCGCGACCGTGCTGGCTGCCGCTCCCACCCTGACCGGGCACCCAAGCCTGGCAACAGTGACTATGCTCCTTTTTTTTTGTTGGAACGCACGGGCTTGCAGAATTATTGGGGGAGGGGGGGGGTGGTGCCGAAAAAAAACACATAATGCTTTGTACGACCGAGGAGGGCAATGATCATTCGGTGGTCTGCCAGGGTGGCACATTGTTAAGGTGAGATGAGGGCTGGGTGTCGTGCGATGCTGTCCATGTTTTTGTTTTGCGATCGCGCAAGTCGCTTGCGTTGTGTCGCGGTGCTGGTGCTGGTGGTGCTGGTTGGAGGAAAACATGCCACTCTTACAGTCGACGTCTAAAATGTTCAAAGATAAAACGCGCGGTAAGCATTCACCGTGCTCGAAATCGCATGGAGTGTTTGTTTTGTTAACGTGCGTTTTTTTTGTGTTTCACGCAGGAGAGCTCGGTGTTGATGAAGACGTGAACATCTTCATCCCCCAGAGATTAAGATTTCGTCGATCCTCCAAACAGAGAAATGGCATCAAATTTCCTCCGATACTTCCGAGCAAAGAAACCAACGAACACGATCGCCGTGCAGGCAAGTCGGCTCTCTCCGCATTGCATCCCCAGTCACGATCATGTATGGGGATTGAACAACAAACAATAATAAAAAAAAACACGTGAACGAAAGTAAAATTGTGAAACACAACGGCACTCACAGTAGAGGACCGACAAACTGTCTGATTGATGTCCAAATAACTTTTTTTTCTGTTTTTAATCGTCTAATTTACGTTCGTTTGTGTTTTTTTTCTTTCTCTTTTATAGACTGAAGAGTCTGAAAGTGACTTTGCACCATTTCAGGCAAGAATACTTGTGCAGTACGACACAATACATTAACAATCCGTGGTTCAAAAAAGTGGGCATGATAGCTCGCGGTTATGAAAACGAGACACTCAAAGCTGGCGGAATATTGAAATAACGGATTTAGAGTCAGGCGCGCGATAACACGCGCCCGTAATCCAGAGCTTTGGAGGAAAGGGTTGGTGGTTCGCGCAAACTTGTGGAAACTCCCCACCACACTGCCTTGCGAGGTGGCCAGGAGAAAGCAGCACAGCAAAGTGGATTCAATCCATTGCGTGGAGCTTTGAGCGCTGTCTTCTCGTGTGCGTTGGGTTTTCCAGTTTTCTACATCATGCTAAACGCTTGTTTTCTGGAATCGGAAGAATGATTTTTTTTCACTCAATTGCAGGCCCCTGCCTGACAACTAGTCTCCATGCTCGGCAAAACTTTCCTGCATCGGCAAAGGGCATTGTTATTGTAGGTGGTTAGGTTTGCCCCCCTTTTGAGTGTTCTCCCCACGTACGCGTTGGTCTTCGCCGGCCATCCGGTTTCCTCCCACACGCAGCCAAATAGCGATCACAGAATTGAGCAAACATCCCAAATATAGACAAAACCTGCTCACCTTATTCTATACATCATATCTAGAATAAGAAAAAAACAACTGTGAGACTCGGAGAGACTTTCCTAGATAGACGAATTGCATTATTATAATTTTTATTGATAAAGTAACGTACTAAAAATATAACAAGTCCAAGCTTTTGAATGATAATTTAATTAAACACCAGATGACATCGGGGTCCAAATATTGACACAGGAGAGAGTTGGCGAAAAATCTGCGAGGCTACTTAAGTCTGGGCCATTAACAGATGCTCAGATGAAACTCAAGACTTTGGTAAAAGCTGATGGGCGCCAGATGGCTCAGGGGTTATTGAGCCAGTATGTACATATGTTGAACTTCTTTCTCACCGTACGTGGCCAACTGCGCAAATTGGAGGTGTGTGTGGGGGGGGAAGGACAACATGTGAACATAAACAGCAGTATATTATTGGTTCTTTCGGTAAAGTCACGTAGAAGGGAAACAATAAAATATAAAAAAATATAAAACAATAAATATATTTTATTATTATTTTATATTTTTATTATTTTATTGTTTCCCTTCTACGTGACTTTACCGAAAGAACCAATAATATGAATCCCTGCAGTCACGAAAGCTTTAAATCAAAACAAACAGCAGTTATAAAGAAATTAGTTTTCAAGCTAAATTTGATAATGCAGAGCCCCAGTGGCTTCTTAACATCGGAAGAGCGTTCCAGACGGCCGCGGAAGCGTATCTAAAAGCGCTGCGATGCGGTGACCGTCTTTGTACAATCGTTAGCTAAAAGCTGCTGCTATGAGTATGACGGGAGTTCGTGTGATATTTTAGTCTCCTTGAGATCAGCAAGGTATTGCCATTCTTTTGTGGCAAGCACTTTGTGTGTAATGAGTGCCACTGTAAGCACTGCCATGTGGCCAATGCTGTCTCTCTCACGCGACGTGCCTTCCGCACGTCCCCATCGCAGGATGAGTTCATCCCGGGGTTTGTGTCCAGCCGACAGAACTGGAGTGCAGTCAGGGACCACTTCCAGGGGCTGGTGTTGGAGAGAAATGAAAAGGTATGCGAGGCGTCACACACTCGTCCACTTTTATAACGCTCTACGTTTGAATATCTCAACATGGAACGGACACCACAGCTACATTCATATCATCACCATTTCCTTTGTCCATGGTCAATCCACCGCTGGATGAAGGGGCTTCAAGGCACCACCATCTCCCATTATCCTGTGCTGTCATGATCCTCCCAGCATCTGCACACGAGTTGATTTCATCACTCCATCCCCTCGGTGGATATAGTCTTGGATGCGGTTCCATTGTTTGGCTGTCACTCCGCGTTCTTATTATTCTTGACCGTCATTATGTTCAACATGCTGCCAAATAAACGACGGCCGATAATGTGATGACTGTGCACGCACGCGCTTGCGAAAACCGCAATCAAGGACAAGTTCCGTATTTGCCCATATTATGATAATTCCTGGACGTACACTACATTTTTGTGTCGATATAAAAAATGTTTGTGTTTAGTTTGTCGTCCTTCTCCTGTACCTCTGATCAGCGCAGTTGGCTACGTACAGTGCAAAATAAGTTAAACATCCATACATTATGGAGTGGAAAGCTGAACAGTGAGCATGCATGCCACTTAGCTCAATTTCTCTTCAAGCCATCGCATATATTCCTTTCCCGGGAATCACCAACATGCTCTGTCTTGAGTTAAGTGGACATTACGGGCCTGTAACGTCATTATTCAATGTCAGGACTTGGCCCAATTCCCAAATTGAAACATTAATTGCCACTAAATTATAATTATGACAAATTGCACGTATTCACCAACAGATGTTCCAATGAATAACCAGTTAGTGGCACATGCCTATAATCTAGCCCTGCGGAGTTAGGCTTGGTGGATAACGAAACGAAACTATTTTTATTTGAGCAGGTAATGCCCACTGAGCTATATAGCTTCTTTTTACAAGTGACCTGGCCACAAATAATAACTCAACGAAGTGGCTTATCATGCGGAAATTTATAGGAGCCAAATAATCGAAATACATGTTGATTATAAATGTGGAGGCAAAAAGCAGAGGACCTGGAGGAAAATCACGCGACCACGGGGAGAACATGCAAACTCCAAATATACATGCATCAGGGTCGGGATCAAACCCACCACCTCCTGTATACCAGGCGAGGTAGTTAACATCTCCTAGCCACCATGGCGCCACATAAACACTTTGAACCTTCCTTCCTGTGTGCGTCGAGGTCATCATACCCTGGCTTGCCAGGAAATTGCACTATAGCAAGCGGATTAATATCCATTTGTTTCCATCTGTATGTATTTTATGCAGGTACTCCAGTTTCCTCTGACGTGTATGAACTCTCATTAATTGCCTGATAATACCGCAATATATATGGAGGACTGCTTGGGCAATTGTTGGTGCTGGCTCACAGCCTAGCTGCTGCCTTCCCCGCTGCCCGTGGTTTCTTTTGTGCCTCCGAGCCCCTCTCTCCGTTCAAGAGCGAGCGAAGGCTGTGCGCGTCGCGAGTCTTTATCCAATGGGGCCCTTTGCCCGACTTAAATTAAAAAGGCTCGACGCTGACCCCCCCCCCCCCCCGCCCCGTCTGTGGTTATCGCCGTTGTGCCAACGACGCAGCACCTGACATCGATCCACTGGAGCTGGAGACCCAAGGCCAGGGCAGCCAGGCGGAGGCACAAGCTTCGCCTCGGCAGCGGAGCTCTGCAGCTGGTACCGCTCGTGCACACCTACCGTACACAAACACGAAGGCCGGGGGTTTTCCACCTCTGTGGTACAGAGACCCCCCCGGACGTACGAGAAGATGGATGCGTGTATGTATGTGTGTATGCTGAACTTCTCTCGCACCGTACGTAGCCAACCGTGCTAATCGGAGGCGCGCATTGTTGAGAATATCTCACAATAGCCGCAAGAGGGGAGAACTACGTGTCCGTGAGTTGTCTTCGAGTGGCGTATTATTATTGTTGTTGTTGTTACTATTGCGCAACTGACGAAAGCCGGGACCTTTTAGCGTCCAGAGAAAACGGGCAGGTGGCACCCCCAGCAACGACCGGGCCGGCAGGGAACCGAGGCCGAAAGCTTTTGCGGGGTCTTTCTGACCGCCGTGCCCGCACACGGCGCGCAGGGCAACGCGGAAAAGAGGTGCGAGGAGGTGCACCTGCGGGCCATGGTGATCCGGGAGGGCTCCCAGCAGAGGGCTCGGGCGCTCGTCATCGCCACGCCGGCGCCGGGCACCCGGAGCCGCGAGAGGGGCACGACCTCCGCGTGGCCGCAACCGGAGCAGCCCCCGCGCAAGGTGGGACCGGGAGCTCGGGACGAAAATCGCGGTGGAATTTAATCCTTCTTTTTTTAAGTTCCAGCATGCGGGTTTGGCTGCGTTTCTATTGGCCCACACGGGATATTGCCAGATACGGTTTACGAGCGACTAGATCACCGTTGGGCAGATCTTGGAAGCTTGGCAAAGACGCGCCCGCTTTTTCGTGCATGCGATTGGAGCCCAGGAGGCATTGAATGTTGGGCCGACGTTGGGGGTTAACGTCGGCCCAACTGTTCCAAACCACATGCTGACGTTGATCCAGAGTTGCCCGTTTTGCTGGGAGACTCCAGGCGTTGTAGGCTCGTGCTGCGAGCCTACAACACAGCAATGGATTCTTGAATATATTTGTATCGTAATTTGAGAGTTATCTCTTCGTATGCGTGGATTTACTCCAGGCACTCCGGTTTTCCTACATGCCAAATAGAATTGGCTAAACATGCCAATCCTGGACCCTTCTGAAAAATAATGTTGACACCCATCGAGACTTACCTTGATAAATAAAGGTAAAATATAGTATTATTAGTTAATATATGTACATGATTATTACATTTTGCTTGCACATTTCTTTTCTCCTGTGTGCCTTTACAGCCATCGATGCAACACAATTTTTCGATACAAGCAAATGACCTGTTCTCAGACAGGTACAAGGTAAACATTTATTGACGATGCTGAATAGATTTGACGTTTCCATTTGTCTGCACGTGGTTCATTAAACACGCGGTGATTCATCAGCCTCGTGGTTCCATGAATTGACACGCATCGTTCGAGGTCGCAATACAATTCCAGAATAGATTACTTCGCGTAAAATGTTTACTGTCATTTGTACGCTTTCTCGCTTGTTCAGTTTGTTCCGCCGCATACACCCCATTACCCTAAATCGCATATCATCGAATATAATTAACAAATCATATTTTTGGTACACGCATGATTCGATATATGTATTGTAAACGTATTCATCTATTTATTTAAATCAGTTGTTAATCTATGTATTGTAACATGCCGAATATCTAAGTGTAATCTTTCAAGCAAACACACACAGGCAGCTCACAAAGAACCCAGCCATCAACGTCTTATTGGCAATTTTCCCACTCGTGTGGTGTCTGCCTTCCTGCTCGCCGTGCTCCACTCGTTGTTATCTTGGGCCATCATCTCCCACTTCCACTCCAGAGACCTTAATGACCTTGCTCACCACTTCGAACCACTCCCTTCTAGGCCCTGCCTCTCAGTCTCAGCCCTGGTGCTTCCACATCAGTCACCTGTTTTGTTGTTCCTCCAATTGTGGTTTTGCCTCTCTCTCTTCGAGCCGTTCGAGTCACCAATGTGAATCATTTTAACACGTTAGGCTTTCGCGACCAATATTATTCATAATAAAGGTTTTTGGGTTAGATCGCGTTATTTATAAATGTGTCGTAACCCTCCACCACCCAACACGGCCAATCAACAAAAAAATGTCACGTTGACAAAAGACAATTAGTTCACTACTTTAGCCCACCGGTGTGTTGAAGAGTGAATCCACAACATTTACAGTTTGACTACGACGATCCGCTGGTAATTACATCCAGCATCATCGGGCAATTCGCCAGAATGGTAAAGCCCTCAATTGCTCCCGGTCTTAAATAGAGCAGCAGGGTGACGTCATCATTTAACTCATTTCAGGTGCAGTAATTATATAATCGATTGGTAATCAGTCAATGGTTATGATTCAAACTGTAAATGTTGTGGATTCACTCTTCAGCACACCGGTGGGCTAAAGTAGTGAACTAATTGTCTTTTTATTCTTAGCTCTTTCGGTAAAGTCACGTTGAAGGGAAACAATAAAATATAAAATATATATAAAAACAATAATATTTTATTATTTTATTGTTTCCCTTCAACGTGACTTTACCGAAAGAGCTAAGAATATGAATTACTGCAGTCACGAAAGCTTTAAATCAAAATTTAATTGTCTTTTGTCAACGTGACACTTTTTTGCTGATTGGCCATGTCGGGTGGTGGAGGGTTACGACAACATTTATAAATAACGCGATCTAACCTAAAAACCTTTATTATGAATGTGAATCATCATCATCATCACCGTATGCGCGAGTGTAACTGCTTGCAAAACTCTGACCTACCCGTCGCGGTGTGTTCCGGTGATCCGTCTGTGTGTCTTATCACACGCATGTGCAGTCCGTGCATGGTCCAAGGCAGTGGCACTGGACACCCGCCAGTCCCAACACCCAGGCTTGCTCGTCCACACAGACCGACGATCTGCCGGCACAGGTTAGAACAGGGGTGGGCAAATTTGTTGACTCGCGGGCCACAATGGGTTCTAAAATTTGACAGAGGGGCTGGGCCAGGAACAGATGGATGGAGTGTTTGTGTGAAATAATATAAATTACATGTAAACATCATTACATTAAAGGATTTGGCCTTTAACAGGTAGCGAAGCATTTATTTGCAAGGCAATTTAATAAATTGCACGAACATGAACAATACAAAAACAGGTCGTAACTCCCGGTCAAAGTGTGCCATCTAATGGGGAAATGGGGGCATTACAGGAGAAAGGTAAAATTTAATTTAATAATAATATTTGGACAAGTTCGGCGGGCCAGATTAAAAAGCCCAACGGGCCGTGTACGGCCCGGGGGCCGTACTTTGCCCATGTCTGGGTTAGAAGTAAAACAACTCTCCCGTCCGTCGCTCGTTAAATCGATCACAGTGAGATTATACCACGTAGGTTTTCGCGGTTGTGACGGACAGCTCTCCTCCCGCCGCGTTCAGCGTGATGTCCGTGACCAATGAAGCTCCCAGCACGTGGAGATACACGTTGGGACATCGTGCCGAACAAACATGCGGTGCAATCCGAAAACAGTGAGGCGATATTGACGATGGTGGTCCTGTTGATAGTGGTACTTTATAACGATGATGGCAATGATGCTGTTGTTCTGTGGCACAACGATTGGGTGTGCAGGTAGTGCAACTGTACACAGTTCCACAGGAAAGAGTGGCTCAGGTGTTATAAATATTGTCCGGGGGGGTGGTGGAAATTGGACAGGGGTCCCATTTAATACCATCAGGGCCTGCGCTAACCACACCACGCAGCCGATGTTGATTTATATAAATGTATATTTATTTTTCAAGGTCTGAAATTCGTTTTAACATTTATGTTATTACAGAGAGACGCGATGATCATGACGGATGGGAGCTTTGAACGTTCGCTGGAAACCTCAAAGGCGCAGTGCACCTTTGGCCTCAAGAAGCAAACGGAGGTAAAAAAAAAATGCGCAGAGCAATTTACATTTCAATGCTCGGCTAAATCTTAACACAAAACTGTGAGTGAGATCATTGTAAAGTGATAGCAGGATTTAACAAAAGAACAAAAAGATGACGTCATTGTTTTGAGCGTTTGGCCATTACTACAAATCTAGACCGAAAACGTATCTGCTTAATATTGGAATATCTTTAGTCATTTTCAAACGTCTTTTTCACCCATTGACGTTAAACTATTTCTGCCTTTTCATACATAGCGCCCTGAGAACGGTTGTCTTAGGGCTCTTTATGAATCGTAAATTATTATTATAATCATCACAAGGCTATTATGTATGACGAGGCTGTATGCAGAATGTGTTATCTTGACGTGCAAAGCCTTCTTAATGTGGTCTGGGACTGTTGTTATTTTTATGACTTGCCAGAAGCATTCCATTAGGTGTTGACAAATCTGCAGGAATGTATGTACTTGAGCAATTTGTACTTTTGTAATTTATTTATAAGCTTATTTACTTTCGTGGTTTGCTTACTCTGTCTCGAACATGCTCTCTTATCTTTTGTTGTATTGTTTGTCGATGTAACTCGCTGACGCCCGCCCCAACCGGACATCTGTGAGCAAAGAGCTTTGTAGCTTCATTGGTTTCTCCCAGTCTAAATAAATATTCCGAGTCCATAATTCCCATAATGTTTTGTTATCGAAGATGCGTTGTCACAAACATACTAGTGTGTCGCGTTTTCAGCCTGCGAGCATTTATTCTGGGACACGCATTGAATCATTGTTTCGAGAAGCATCAGGAATATGGTTTTAAAACCGTTTCAGCCGATCATACTCGTTAGCCTTACATACAGTTTACTTCTTGAGTACACCCCCACTCTTTCTACACCTCCGCTTAGAACGGTTGGCGACGTACGGTGCGAAAGAAGTTCAACAAACATGCATACAACGCGTAATTGGAAAAAGGTCGGTTCTTTGTTTTTTTTGTTTAGATGCGTTTGGATCAAGGGATTCAGACATGGTCGCCAACACAAACCCAGGCTTCTGGACAAACCAACATTCTGCAGGATGGCCGCATGTGCCAGGACACCCAGACAGGTCCTCCACTGTGGGTGGTAGCAGTTTAGATGAGGCTGGCAGATGATACCCATGAATATATGGACCCAAAAACCCTGGTATTTTTTGAGTCTGCATTTTTATCCCATCGACAAGTTGACGTAAAATGTCCACGAGCCCAGAACCAGATATTTCACTCTTCGGGTACCAACTGAGGTGGCATAACATTAGCGGTTCCAACATCTTAATGTGGCCAACAGTAGTGAACGTTGTGATAACCACTTGAAATGAGTGGGTTGTCAAGTTGTTTATTATTATTAGTCGTATAAATAAACTGGCCCAAGGACTAAAATGCTGATTGTGTTGATGATGGAACCTTTAAATACACTTGAATAGGAGGTTCAACACTGCAGTGCAGTAAACAAAAGTCAAAGTAATTTCCTGCCTAATTGAACATTCAGGTGGTAATCATATCCTGTTTACAGTCATGAGCCAGCGATGGAATTTCCACATTCCTACGGCGGGGGCGAGTCTATACATAGGAAAACTACTCCTGACTCCCCTGTAAAGTGGTACTCATAGCATAGTAGCGAGATGTTAAATACCTCGCCTGATATTTAACATCTTGTGGGTTCGATCCCAATCCTGAAGCCTGTATATTTGGAGTTTGCATGTCTCTCTCTCTCTCCCCCGTGGTAGCAATAAGCCACTTCATTGAGCCATCATTTGTGGCCAGGTTGCTTGTGAGAAAGAGCTCTGCAGCTTCGTGGGCCTTACCTGGTAACGTAAAAATTGTTAGTAATAGCCGAACTCCTATCCGTGACGAATTAGGAGGCAAACTTTGTAGATCATATCGATCATCTGACCAATAAACACCTCGCAATTAGTTGTTAGTTCAGCACACCGCTATGTTATAGAGCAATCCCACAACATTTACAAGTCGATTAACGACGTTTCTACCGGTATCTACAACCAGCCTCATCAGGCGATAGCCAGAATTGTGGAGAAATCCTCCTCCTGTTTCGGTCTTAAATAATGCAATGATATTCTTAGTTTTTTCGGTAAAGTCACGTTGAAGAGAAACAACAAAATAACAAAATATATATAAAACAATAAAAAAAATAAAAAATTCTCACGACGTTTCGACCATAACTCAAACGGTCATCATCTGATGATGACCGTTTGATGATGACCGTTTGAGTTATGGTCGAAACGTCGTGAGAATTTTTTTTTTTTATTGTTTTATATATATTTTGTTATTTTGTTGTTTCTCTTCAACGTGACTTTACCGAAAAAACTAAGAATATGAATTACTGCAGTCACGAAAGCTTTAAATCAAAATTGAATGCAATGATGTTTAATTGCATGCCAATACAGGTCACCATAGGTCGATGGTGATTAACTGTGAGCAGCCAATAATATGTACTGTATTGCATATCCTCAGCATCCTCTTAGATTAACTTTGAATAACCCAACTAAAAATATATATATCCATTGTAATGTATACGACATTAACCGCCCTCTGCTCGTCGCACCTGATTGACTCACGGTGATGACATCACATTTACGATCGAAGCAGGAGGAGGATTTCTCCACAACTCTGGCCGTCGCCTGATGAGGCTGGTTGTAATTACTGGCGAAACGTCTTGCTTCAAGTTCTAAATGTTGCGGGTTAACTCTTCAACACACCGGTGTGCTGAACTGGTCAATAATTGGCATACAGTAGAACCCCTGTTAACGACCAATCACTTAACGATGGACCTCCACAGAGCCCCATGTGTAGTGTATAGTGTAGAGCGTAGTGTATAGTGTAGTGTATAGTAGTGTAGTGTATAGTGTAGTGTAGTCTATAGTAGTGTAGTGTATAGTAGTGTAGTGTATAGTAGTGTAGTATATAGTAGTGTAGTGTATAGTACTGTAGTATATAGTAGTGTAGTGTATAGTGTATAGTAGTGTAGTGTATAGTAGTGTATAGTGTATAGTAGTGTAGTGTTTAGTAGTGTAGTGTATATTAGTGTAGTGTATAGTAGTGTAGCGTATAGTACTGTAGTGTATAGTAGTGTAGTGTATAGTGTAGTGTATAGTAGTGTAGTGTATAGTAGTGTAGTGTATGGTAGTGTAGTGTATAGTGTAGTGTATAGTGTAGTGTATAGTAGTTTAGTGCCTCCACAGAGCCCAATGTGTTCGCTTACCGACCATTCCCCTGTTAACGACTGGCTGTTGTAGGTGCAGTAAATATTAATGATTGCATTAATTGACCGTGTTAATTTTAATATTACGTGTTTATAATGTTGATAGTATCTTTGTGTCTTAATATCCGTTGTTTAAATATGAAAAAGTACGTTTTTGGGTGAAAAAGTTTAACTTTCTATGCTGAATGAACGAATTAAGCCTTTAACGTGTATATCCTTTCCTCGCTTAACGGGCAAATCACTTAACCACCGGTTTCATGGAACCATTTACCTTCGTTAAGAGGGGTTCTGCTGTTAAACTGGGAACCATTAACTCAGTGAGACACCTCCAACTCGTTCAGTGTGGCTGTGCCCCCTTGAGCCTGGAGTGCTGGCGATCGCGATGGTCAAATGTGTGTCGATGCAGTCATCCACGCTGTTTTCCCACACACACACACACAAAGAAAAACAGTTGTAAGTGTGGGCATTCATTTTAGCCGTTTCTATTTACAGACACAACTTACTCGTCCGACTACGTTCACTCTGAAACGATGCCTCTGGACGGGGGAATTTTAAATGCTTCACAAACACACTTGCCACAGGTTTGTTTGCGAGGGTACTCGAGTCGGCGGTCTTCTCGCCTCTCTCGTCTCACGGCTTGCTTGCCACTCATGTTCCTGCGTGACATAACACATAGCGGCTTAGTCAAACGTAGCAAAAATATAACTTAAATTCAGTTTTTTTTATTTACACATTTTTTTTTTCAGTTATCACTGCACTCATGTCCTGTTGTTCACTGTTAATGTTTCATAGTATCTCAAGGGATGTTGTTGTTGTTTTTTTCATCATTGATCGATATAATGTTGCTGTTAATGTTTATTACACGTATTTGTGTATTGCTCCGTTAATCCAGGTCTCCCTGACACATTTTAAAATACAAAGATTGAATTCATCGCTTACAATGTCTTGCCGAATATTTCTGCGTGTGTCATTCGTCCAGGGCCAATGACGGCACACGTCTTAGTAGCTGCAGTAGTCGCACAGGAGAGGAGAAAAATTTTTCCTTCTCCTCCATCGATTTTTTTTGTGTTCTCAGATCTTTCCCTGGCACTTCGCGACACCTCGGGACAGCCTGCCAGCGCAGGCCACGGAGAAGCCGAAGAAGCTGTCCATTTTGGTAACAATTGCTTTTTTTCTGCAAAACGGCACACTTGTGAGGAAATAGCTCTCTGGCTAAATGTTGCCGAATATCTCGCCGTAAAGAAGCTACGTTGATGCATGCATCGACCAAAATTTCCCTCGTTCCGTTGTTTTTGTTGAAAGGTCTCGCGTTTTCAGGAATGCACACTTCTGCCGCGGCCTTCACGCATATTCGTCATTCGATTGGCCGCGTACTTCAGATGCGAATGCGTCAGTAGGTCTGGCTGGCTGCAGTGAGAGATATTTGCCCGATGAGAAACACGTGCGTGTTGCACGCACGCATTCCAGGGACGTAGCCACCGTGGCTGTCGGTGGGTGGCTCGACACCCCCAGCGGGGTCAGATACGGCGAAGAGAAGACACACGCAACATTTTGGACAAATATTGTGGTGCTTTTTGTCTGTCTGTCTGTCTTTCTCCCTTCAACAAGTTGTCACAAGTGCCGACTATGCTGGTGACAGAACCTTTAAACACATAGGAGCACAAGAACGGTAGGCTCAGCACTGAGTAAGTTGCCAGCTGAAGACGGAAGCTTGTGTTGCCTCCGAAACGTCGTGATTTAATTTAGCTGTTTTCTTTTTTTTTTTATTTCTCCTACGTGACTTTACCGAAAAAACCAAAGAGTATGAATCCTTGCAGTCACGAAAGCTTCAAATCTAGAAGTAGCCAGCAGTTGCGTGGATTTATATTCAATAGCTTTCCAGTGAATTATAACTCCTCTTATTCCCGCGGGTTGCACATGGCACATGCTATCTGTAACAGAAATAATTATACCCAGAACTGCGAGGAACCACAGACAAGCAGGAAGGCAGCCACATGGTCAGCCGGCGCCAACAATTATGCAAGTTCTGCGATCCTCTCTATATATATTAAGATGTTTGCAGCCAATTAAGGAGTGTTTACATTCAACGGACATCCCATCACAGAATTGTCACGATGCTGTAGTCGTGATTCCTTGGGAGCAAACCGGAGCACCCAGGAGAAACCCACGCATGCGAGGGGGCAACACTCTATCCCGTACAAAAGGGACAGATGATAGTCCACTTTGCTGTACCGCCTTCTCCTGGCAAACCATAAATACGGCACCTCCTCGACGCCCACAGAAAGTGAGTTTTACAACATTTGTGCGAGCCACAAACTCTTGCCTCCGCAGCGCTGGACTACAGTGGCTGCTCTTACGATATTCAGAAGCCACTGGAAGGACGTACTTTCAAATCTAGACTGCAAACTCATTTCTTTAGAACTTCTTTTCGTGTTTCCAGTTTGTTGTCTCCCCCCCCCCCCCCCCCTTGCACACCTGCGACTAGCGCGGTTGGCAAACGCGCGGTGTGAAAATAAGTTCGACACACGTGCGTGTGCGCATGTTCCCTTGACCCACGCTGCTCCTCCACAGGCGCGATTCCTCAAGCTCCTACGCAGGATCAGGCAGAGGCGCACAGCCAAGCGGCTGCTGCCGCCGGTACGCAGGGTGGCGCCCGCCTGCCAGGCCATCGACACGGTCGCCGACCCCACCTACTACCAGGTGTGGTTGCAGGGCCGCTCATGCTCGCGATTTTGGCACGGTAATTGTTTTTTTTTTTGTCTAATTCACGGGGGGAAAAAAACTTTTCACAGAATGGTCATGGAATAGCGGGGGGGGGGGTGGGGGGCGGGGGCGGGGGGTGCTGCCCATGCTCCACTGCCACCGTCCACCCCCCACCCCTGCCTAACATGGATTTATTTTTAAATTAATTATAAGACTTGCTTGATATATTTTTTTTCTCTACAACACCCTGTCCGCACACCACCCACCGTCTCGGTGTAGAACTATTTCCAAGATTTCACAGACTTCATTGAAATTCATCTATTTCCTTGACCACCGTAACCTCCGTGCCAAAGGTCTAGCCGTACTTGCGAGCAATCCATGGTGGGTTTTTGAACAGGAGCAGACGGGTTCTTTTTCTTTCGTGGAAACAGTTATAAATATTTTTTTCACGCTTCATGAATTACGCAGTGGGAATGAACGTATAATTTATTGCGATGGACCTCAGCGGTCCCCGCACTGCACCCCTGAACACACGTACGCGGGGCCTCTTGAGCTCCTGCGTGTGTGTGGAGCGGTGGCGTAGCGGTCAGAACGCTCCGCTGTGAACCCGGCGACCCCAGTTCGATTCCCGCTCATGGCCAACACCGGTGACGATTATCTGAACCGGTCCTGGGCCTCCCATATATCGACTCGGCCTCAAATGACTGCCTGGTGCAGTGTGTAAACATCACCACCGGGGAGACAAAGGCGGCCGGGCGTGGTGCCGGCCACCCACGCCCACGTGTGCCGTGCCGGCCTTTTGTAGGTGCTACTCGCCAACAGCACTTGCCCCAACAGTCTGTTACAGGCTACACGGGGGATCTTTGTCTTTTTGCCCAGACGGGCAATGGACCCCCGCTATTCTACTGGCCACCTCGCGCGGAGTCCATGCGGCTGAGGATGTCGCCGGCTCAGGCCGACACGCCGGCGTGCCACCCAGCAGCCCCCCACCTCCCGACGATGACGCCGGCTGGGCTGTATCCAGACCTGCAGCAGACCCGGCACGTGGACGAGCCCAGCAGCAGGACTCCCGGCCGCCCCTACGCCGCATCCCAACCTCTGCAGCCCGTGCAGCGGGATACCACAATGGTATTGGCGCACACCCTGGCAGAAAATCAATTCCCCCCTTTGAATCGGGGGATTCTCGTTCCAGGTTCACATCCAATGCAAATATGGCGCAGCCTCTTCAACATTTCGCCGTGCCCCAAACTCGCGAATGTAACTGCGATTACGTGAATAATGTGAATCCATAGCTTCACGTGCCACGACCATGAATGCGACCGACCTCGAAAGGCTAAGCCAGAGACTGCTTGGACATAGCAGGTGTTGTGGTGTTGGGCTACAAGGTGTCGAGGTGATGACAGGACAGCAACATTATTTAATACCAACCGAGTGGGGATTTGTGTGTTGCTCCCCTTTATAAATTGGTTTTCTCCACCGAAAAGCCAGGTGCTCGTGAATGGCTTTGGCCACGCATCCCAATGCACGGCCTGGTAAACAAAAAAAAATAACAATGGGCATTACGACTATGATAGCCGAGCGGTGGTAAAGTGGTTAATACGCTGCAGTATGATCCCGGTGACCCGAGTTTCAAGGCTAACATCTATGGTGAGCGATATCAAAACTTATCCTGCCTCAGCCTCCATGGACCAACATGGTCAAGTAAAGTAAAAAATACAAAATCCCATGACATGGTGCGTGGGGAGGCCTTCCATCTAGCTGTGTATTGAGAATGGCTGGAATATATTTTAAAAATACTGTTTCTAAAAATGCAAATGCGTTGTTACGCTAGCTTGTCTGTTGTCTTTCATCAGCTACGCTCTTGATCCACCCACCTGAATGTGAAATTGTAGCTGTTGCGCTGCATCTACAATCAGCCATACAAAACAAGAAGCTACGCTCCGGCTCGTTTGACACAGGCGCTCCCGATGTAAACTGCCGGTGGTTGTTCTGTGACAGCAGCCTGGATACCCCAGGAAGCAGTGGGCCAGCGAGGCCACGACCCCGACATGGGCCCTGTCCGGGTACGGGCGGGTGCCCGTGCTCTACCAAACGCCGCTGCCTCCCTTCATCGCTCTGAGCCACCAAGCCCGGAGTCACCTCACGCATGGCTCCCAGGGTCACGACGCCAGGCGCTTCAGCCTCCTGCGCCCGCCCAGCAGCCTGCTGCCACTCAGCACCCTACCTCCGTCCAGCACCCTGCCTCCCAGCACTGGGAGCAGGGCGCGGCAAGAGGTGCGACACGGAACACGGCAAGATGACCTATCGGTAAGTGCCACCGAAGACAGAATTCAGTGGAAGAGTCTCCAGAATTCGACAATGATAAGAATGACAAAGAATGACTAAAAATGATTAGAGTAATTGCTGGGCAATGTTGTTTAGCGGGTGGGTTTTTCACAATCCAAGTGTGCTCTTCCGGATCGAGCGATTCTTTATCCGGGGTTTTGCAACGCACTACTGCGAACATCTTCAGGAGTTGAAGGTGTTCACGTTGGCACGCGACAAAAGCTTGAAAGAAGAAATGCCCAACACGCAGCCTAACCCAGCAGAAGATCAAACTTCGCTCACGATTTTTGTCTCATCGTAAAAAAAAAAACTAAAAATGACGCTAATCACGCATCTTTATATTTTGCCGTCCAGTTACAATCTCCCACGGGACAAGTGGCGTTGCCTGAGAGAACCATCACCGCGGCCTCCAAAACATTTTGCGCCAACATTCACCCTCGCCGTAGTGGCCCGGACTCAGCCACGGGGCCGGGCAAGGCCAACGAGAAGCCTCTGGCAGCAGCCAAAGTCTCGTCAGAATCTCACCCCAACCGGCCCGACTCGCGCGACCTCACGACCCCCAAACAGAAGAGGAGGCGACGGAAGAGACACAGGACTGCTCCTTCCACGAGAAGGACCAGCTCGAGCGGCGCCCGCGACGCGGTGTTAATGTTCCACCAGGGCGACGGGCAGAAGCCTCCGGACCCAGGCTCGCCCTTCTCGCTCCCGCCTGGGAGCTTCTCGCGCGCCAGCGAGGCCGGCGACGGCCCGGTCGCCCCCGCCGGGCGCCGTCGCAGCTTCCCGCAAGCCGCCAGCCGCCGGCGCAGTTCCACGTTTCAGTTCCATCGCGAGCTCACGGAGGTTCCCGAGGCGGACTGCAGGAAGGAGGATCCGGAGTGGACGTCGCCGATAATTCTCATTCACGGCGGCGGCGGCGGCGGCGGCCGAAGGAGCACGAGCCGCGAGAAGGACTGCCCGGGCGTTTTAAAGAAGGCCAAGAGGCACGTTCACCGGAGGAAGCGTGACAAGAGTAGAGCCAGTGCCGCCGAACGCACGGAGGTAAAGTTATAACATTTTTTTTCTGCAGGGGTTGCCTATAGAGGTAACTGAAATGATTATAATTGTAATTAGACAGCAGTTTGAGATAGGTTGATACAAATATCCCCTGTATTGCCTTTGTAACAGACCGTTGGGGCGGTTACAAAGACGAGCACCTACATATCGAGGCCTGAATGGCACACGAGGGGGCGGTGTGGGCCGAAGATTGGTTCAGAGTATTGTCGCGCTAACGTGTTGCCCCTCAGCCACTTGCTATGTGAAGATTTATTGCATAATTTCGATCTCTAAGATCATAGCGATATTCATTTAAAAACACCTGAGAGCCCATTTGGACTGGTCTCATATATTTTTAAAGACCTGGAGCAGAATACAGTGGGGTAACTTAATCACATCGTTTGTCAATGCTGCGTTGGCAGTCGTGCACAAGCACAACTAGCAAAAAACTCACGCTCTCTAACAACACTTTGGCCTAAAAAAAAATCCACGATGTTTTTTGGCATTAGCCCTTCTACATACGCCATGTGCTGAATTGTTTTGCGTTACAAGTTAATCTTTGGGTAAAGTAAAACGAATGAAAGACACGTGCCCAAATACGAACCGAGAATCCGTCAATTGGATGAGATTTTCCATCTCGCAGACGGAGACTCACAATGGCCACCTGCAGCAGCCGGGGAGCTGGAAGGAGCTGCCGTGCCCTGGGGGCCCCGTGGTGATGAGGTCGCCACGGCACAGCCGCTCCTCCTACTCGGGTCACCTTCACGACGGGGCGCAGGTGAGCGCCAATAACCTTGGGGCGCCGCGGTGGCGAGACGTTCACTCTCTCGTCTGGTATGCAGGAGGTCGTGGGTTCGATCCGACCTCCGATAGGCCTGTTGTATATTTGGAGTTTGTGTGTCTCTCTCTCTCACCCCGTGGTCGCGTGGATTTTTCTCCGGGTCTTCCGTTCCCCCCCCCCCTCCACATTTAGAATCAACAGGACGCGTTTAAGGGTATTTGGTTGCTATGCATTTTCACACGTTGATAAGCCACTTCATTATCATGTGATCAGGTCGCTTCTAAAAAGGAGCTATATACAGCTCAGTGGCCCTTACCTGGTAAAAAAAATTTTTTAGTTCAGTTCAATAGCTAGACCACGGACACTCAGGCAGGGGCAAGGACCCCCCCATCCCCCCCCCTCCCCCATGTAATTCCTTGCTCCAGGGCCCATGTCAACCAAACTAGGCCACCGCGTATCATTTTCAAGAGGCGTTTAGGAAACGTCTGGCTGAACGCGCACAGTTTGCCGTTTTGCGAAATTACATTGGTGCAGTTAATGCGTCCCGATTTAACCGCAGGGGTATTTCATAACAGTTTAATATTAACACAAGCACCGGCGCTGTTATTGCAGTGATTTTAGCAGATAAATGTCAATGTGGGTATGGATTAAATCTGACAAATAGGGTCAGTGCTTACGTGACCTCTGACGTTAGGATAACATCCTGCTCAGCCTCTGGCAACGAAGGGTTGGTTGGTGTCTTGGAGAAAGCAGTTGTAGACTTCCATTAAGTCATCAGTGTCCACTGATGACAGCCATGTCGAGGGATCCCTCTGAACCACACGACTAAAAGGAATTACCAAATTGCTCATGAGAATGGGATAATTATATTCATCATCATCATGCATCACTACGCTTGGCGCGTGGCTTCCGAAGGGTATGCAGTTGTTGGGAGTAACAATGAATGGGCTTCTCTGACCACCTCACGTAAACCATAACCACTATTACAAAACACCTCTAAGGAAAAACAGGATGGAGTGGTGACACAATGTTTCGCACAACGCGCGATGAATCTAACGAACACGAGTTGACATCATGCCTTCACACCAAACTCAAATAACGTGGTGAAGTATGGTCAAACAACCTCCCATGACCGACAAGAGCGTGGAAGGCATTAATCTACTCGCGGATCGACCAAGGGATGCAAATGATCGCCGATTCGTTATCGTAAAACGCAATTCAAAGTATTTGTCACGTGAATAATCTGACCTGAAGTTTGTTTGCTTTCTGAACTCAAGACTGATGGCAGTCTGAGCACACAGTCCGAATCCAGTGACACGGAGTCAAGCTCTGAAGAATCGGTGCAGGTACGACGTCCCTACTTGAGACAATTGCACAACTAAGGAACGGTTGAACTCTCGTGTCACATAAAAACAGGAATTGATTTCAACCAGGTTTGTCCAGGTCAGTGACCTGAAATATGTCTGCGTGTGACACATCACATCCAGTATATACGTCTCACTCCGGCTCTGGGACTCGTCATGTGCCTACTCATAGTGAGAATTACATTTTCGGCGAGAAATTAAGCTCATTGTAAAACTATGAAAAAATTACTTAAAACAATATCCAGTTTTGTTTTCCATGCAGACAGAGTTGACAAAAGATGGCAGTGAATCGGCAACAAGCCGCTCTGAATCATCAGCATCAACATCATCTACGGTACGACACCGTATGCACGATACACTTCGTAAGTGATCACCCGAGATGAGACTTAACACTGTTGAAACTATGGTGCCGAAATCAGCAGAATACTGTGTTTGTTGCAGGACACCGAAGACAGCGATGAAGATGAATTAAAGTCAAATGAAACCGTTACTTCATCTGGCAATGAATCATCACAGGTGAGAGCGAGACTGCCATGGAAAGCAAACATTTCAATGAAGCAACCCTGCTGTGGATAAAATGTTGTTTTGGATCGTCCTCTGGTCAACAATTTCGTCGTGTCATCACATAGAGATAATTTAGTGTGGCATTACAGACAACCATAAAATCATGAGAATCGTGCACACGACGATGGCCGGTCACACCCGTGTTCACGTCCCACCGCATCGCAAAAGCCTCCTGCAGGGCCAGGCCGGTGTCCCGACAGATCTGACAAACTCCCTTAACCTGGTATTGTGGCTTCAATCCTGACCCCCGACGGTCTGCTTATCTGGAGTTTGCGGTGTCTCTCTCCCCATTGGTCGCGTGCACTTTTCTCTGGGTCCTCCCGTTTGTCCCCTCCACGTTGAGAATCAACATCACCACGCGAATACAGTATTTGGCTGCTGTACATTTCCACACGCTAAGCCACTTCGTCGAGCTGTCATTTGTGGCCAGGTCGCTTCTGCAAAAAGAGCGATAAAGCCCAGTGGGCCTTACCTGGTAAAATAAACAAAAAAGTTTAGGTTTGAGTCACGTGGACAGCTGGCTGCTGGATGCTCTCAAAGGGGAATTCAATTTAAATAATAATTTCCAAGTCCTTGTGCGTTCACCTATTACTTTTAGCAATCTTGGTGTGCGTATCTTGCAGCCTGAGCCATTGAAAGTGGAGCCACCCCAGATTTCTTTGGACATCTCCGTGGAAAATGAGCCAAACGAAACGGCAGCAAAAGAGGTACCTTGATTCGCACGTTACATTCAATCATTACCATTACTGCTGCAGCATGAGAGCTTACAATACGGGATTCAGATGCGCACATGTCAAGGAATATTCCTCATCCACTGCTGGACGAGAGCCTCCCCACACCGTGGAGGTCACGGGAGTTATTTGACCCTACAACCCCTCCGTGCTGGTCAGTGCATGTTGGTGAGGGCAGCAAGCAATGATGTGCAAGCGCAAAGGTTTGTAAGGATGGTTTTTGCTGAACATCTCTCTGCTGGCTATCACGTAGCGCTGCAGCCTAGCTACAGCCTATCACACCTGTTATGCGTGGTGGCCGCCCATCCGAGCATAACCCTGCTGAGCTTCTAAGTTCTGATGAGACTGGGCACATTTTGGGCAATCTGGTCTTCGGACATGTGTATAATTATGCAGTTGAAGTTGATAATATATAGCGTTGTATTTATGCTAAGCTGCATAACCAGTCTTCCCGAGCCAGATCTGAAAAAGCAGACTTTTTTTTTAATCCATCACACGGTTGGCTTTGGCGAGGAAAATTAGACATCACCAACACGCAAAGTTTTTGTTGTTGCTGTTGTTCAAGTTTCACTGTCCACAGCCAACCAAGAAGGAGAAGCCTGCGGCTAAACTACCGCTCGCTGTCTCCCGATCGGCAAGCCAGCGCAGCGTGTGCTACGGTACGACCATCAGCTTCAATAAACGTTCCGCGATGTTGCTTTTCTGAGACTTTCCCATTAGGCTCGGTTCGAAATAACCGTTTATTGCATCGAAAAAAAGAGAGCACGCATGGTTACCAGCGTAAGCTGCTGTATATTTGGAGTCTGCGGTATCTATTTCCCTCTCCCTGTGATCGCGTGCATTTTTCTCCGGGTCCTCCAGTTTTTGCCCTCCGCATTCAGAATCAACGTCACGCGTTTAGGAGAGCATTTGGCTGCTTTACATTTCCACGCGATAAGCCACTTCGTTGAGCTGTCATGTGGCCAGGTCGCTTCTGGAAAAGGGCCATGTAGCTCAGTGGGCCTTACCTGGTAAAATAAAGATTAGTTTATAGTTAACCAGCGCTTGAACATTAACAATTTGAAAGGCGCTTGATAACATTGAGCTCAGTATTTTTATTATGTTCCATCCCCTTCTGCACCGATGAGGGGCCAAATGAAGTCCAAGCACTTATCCGCGTGGCACCAATAAGTTCGCACTGCTCATGTCTAACCCTTTTCTGCTCCATGTCCTTCTTCCACGGTCTATCCAGCGCTCTGCATCTCGTTCCATCTCCTCTGGCGTGTGCTGCTCTCATTTCTGGGTCAACTCTTGAGACCACAAGCAGACACCGTCCCAAACGACTCGTCTTTAATTGTCCATCATTTCACGCCCCAGGGCCGGATTAAGCTTATTGTAGGCCCTAGGCACTTGTGTTTCGTAGGCCTTCAGTGATAACTCTCTATAGTTGGTACTGCTTGCCACCCCGTGTTACTACTACCGCCGCTGTCACTGGATTGTGCGAAAAACGACATTTGCAGATGTTATTCGCTAATTTTGCAATGAAAACAATCTCGAAGAGCTAATCTCCACTGTTAATTTCTCTCACCTTATGAAAAGATTGCCATGACTCTGCCCCTGTATATAAACTGTGCTTATTCTTGCAATATAAATATATTCAATAAGAAACCTTTATCATACAAAAAAATTGCATAGTTTTCGTAGGCCCTAGGCAGCGTGCCTTTTGAACAGCTTCATGCGTTATTTTCTGCAGTCTAGACACTCCCAATATTCCTCTTCGCCAGCTGTATTACCATTAAATTTACCTGCCACCATCATAATTTAGCATGAACAATTGCAGTGTATCCCAGAGCTTAAAAATCAACATTAGCATTTTCTCTGGAAAGACGTTCAAGGTGAAAACTACAAAATCATGCCTGGTGTCAGTAAACTTAAACAAATCACGCACACCACACACGGGACTATTAATAATGCACCCAGACTTTTTGTTTTCAAAATACAAGGGGTGATTTTAAAAAAAAGTGCATCAATCTAGGGAAGAGAAAAAAACCACGGCAACCCATGGAATTATCGCACCACGAGCACAACCATGTACCAATCCTCCCAAGCGTGTTTTCCAGGACTGGGCAGCTCATACTGCGTGTGCGAGGGCTGCTTCCCCGAGTGCCGGGCGTACATCGGCCACGCGGGCGACAGCGAGCCGACGCGCAGACGCAAGTGCCAGTCGCTGCTCATGGGCCTACTGATGGGCACGCTCGTGTTCGCGGCGCTGCTCGGCCTCATGGCAGCCCTCGGTGAGCAATCGGCAACGAAGGTGCTTCGTGGTTCACCCTGAACCGCATCCACTGCACAAACCATGGCGGAATAAAAATAGGGAATACCTGATGCACAAATGGAACATATAAACAAAACTCTCCAGTAGTGTGCGACTGTGGCCATCCGGATCAGACGGTACAACGTACATAAACGATGCAATGCCCCGATCCACAAATATTACGGAGCCATCACAGCGATACACTCCGCTCGCTGCTCCTGACGCAGTGATCTGGCTTGACCACCTGAACGCGAGATTGTAGTTGTCGCTCTGCCGTCTACATCAGTTGGACGAAAGAAGGCCATCGCCCCCCAGCTCCTCCGAAACCGCTCGACTCCAAACGCACACCGGCACGAACTTTCGGCAAGATTTTTCCACCTACGTGTTACTCAGAGGTGTGTTCAGCATAATGTTCGAAGTGCGGTGGACACTCGAAGGCACGGAAAGTCGTGAGAGCGAGCCGTGTCCAGTTTCACCGCTTACGTGCAGGCGATGAACATGCACACACAAGAGAATGCCACACTATTAACAAACCTACCGAACACCAGCAAGCCCGCAACTCTTAACGAGGTGATCGGGGGGGTGGCGAGGATTTTGGGGTGAGCGGTCCTCTCAAAGTCGCGCGAAGCCTTTGATGAAGCTGTACCTCATCCACTTTTCTACCCAATCCTCCACTCCCACCATCTTCATCATTCACGATATTAAGCACTGCACTTTGAAATCTAGATTTTAAAATACTTGTTTATAACTGTTTAGTTTGTCCTTCCCCCCCCCCACCTCCGATCGGCACCATTGGCTACATACAGTGCGGAAGAGGGTCAAACGTGTGCTCCATTAAGTTTCTGAAGCTTGTGCAGTGAAACATCACACGATGCAGAACACACAGCACAACCTGAGCACACATCGGAGCTATACGGCAGAAGGCGTGAGAACTTGCGCAGTACAACCCCTCCCGAATGTTTGTTCTCCCATGGAAATATTTGGTACCCCTCCCCACCCACCCCACGGTTCTCCACTACATTTGGTTGGACAAAGGACGAAAGATACGGACTGTCTCATGTAAAACTACGCGAAATGAAAACGAGGCAACTGTTGCACAAATTAGTTTGCAAGGTGGTTTAAAATTAAGGTTTCAGTCGAAAGTGTATGAAAAGACTTGTGTATGCATTTCTGTTTGTTATAAGGTGAAGTACACCTTAGGAATGACTTGATCCTGGTCCCTTGCCAGGAAAGGATCATCCGCCACTGAGGTTTCTCATCGTGAACACGACCAACAGCACGGAGGAAGACAGGACGTGAGGACTGCTGTTCGCCATTTTACAGTTTAGCCATGATAAACACTTTCATGTTTAAAAAAATCAATGTATAACATTTTTACGTCTAAAATTCTTGCATCGCAAGGCATATTGTATTACACTACTGTATGTAAAAAAAAAACATATACCAACCGTGCATTTGCTTTTTACTTGGAACTCTTTTTCCAACGTTTTTCTTGTGAAAATAAATATTTTTACCGTGTGAACCCCTCTCTAGTCATTGTCTGGCAACTGAAAAAAACTATTAAAATATCTATAACGAAATATTTACAAAATGATGTAACACAAACTCAAATGGAAGTACATTTTTTTTTTATTTTCCACGGACGGTTTATACATTCTGCCACATCTATCAACTCATACTTCAAGCAACCGCAGCACCTGCTCATCGGCAGATCAAACTCATTGAGCGATCGTTTACGATTCGCACTGAAATGTTGCGTATAAAAAAAAAGGTATGATACCCTTCAAGGCCCACTGCACGCTCGTGATACAGTGACACTCTTTCATACATTCCTGTTTGTCTAATCGTCTTCCTGCTTGCATTTCTTCTTCTTTTTCTTCTTCTCCGAAGAGGGCTGCACGCAGGCAATAAAGACAACCAATGAGTTACAACAGAGACTCGGACCGCTCGGAAACACGACGAAATCCACACAGGGGCAAGTGGCTCTATACACAAGCGGTAGAAGGTTGAACGTCCACCCCCCCACCCCCACTTCAGTCAGTTGAGGGGGCCCCCCCCCCCCCCCCCTCACGTGCAAAAGGGAGGCACGCAGGGGTGGGGGACGTTGGGGGAAGGGGGAGGACGGGACGGTCATTCAAATTGGACACGTACGTTCGCTGTACAGTATAAAAAGTTTTGCTGGCTGGTTAGACGGAGGGGTGGTGTGGACCAGTCATGTCCAAGGGCCGTGCGTGCGCGGGGCTGCGAGTAGCCAACAAAGTTTTGCCAACGGCTTCACCTGCGCAGGGGACTTGCTGGGAAGTTCTGCCTCGTCCTGCTCTTGATGCTTTTCCTTCTTACATTTCTTTTTCTTGCTTGGAGTCTCCGTCTCTTTAGATTTGACGAGACGACGGCACACGGCGATTAGACAAAGCGGAAACCGTCGCGCGGAATGACCTGCGTTGCACGCTTTACGGACGCAAACAGAAAAAGTCTGTTCAAAGGGCGAGGTAACAACAGCAATCGTTGCATTTTTAGCGAGCGGAGGGGGGGGGGGGGCAGGAGAAAACCGGTGTCAGCAGGGAATATATAAAGCGGCAAAACGCAACCGCATTGCCCATGCAAAAAAAACCGGTGTATGCTTGGGAAGTACATGCAAGCAAATAGAGCAGCGAGCTCCTTTCAATGCCTACCTGCCACCTCCAGGGACTTTTCCTTCTTCTTCTTCTTGGGTGTCTTTTCCGCGACGTCCTCGCCGCTCTCAGGCTCGGCGACCGCACGTTTCTTTTTTGACGACGACGACGACGGCGTGGAAGCTTTGGTGAGCCCCGAGGGTTGAATTAGCGCAAGACAAAAAAACAAATCGTGAATTTCACGTCACCGATGCGATAACCGGGGGGCGGGGCGGGGGTGTGTGTGCGAAAATGAGGGTTTAAAATGTCAGTGCACGAGGGCCCGTCTATAGCGAGTGGCAAGGCAACTCTCTTAAAGATGACACTTTACCAACACACCGTTTAATCTCAAGTCGTGTTGCTATTTAGGACTTTCCCCATATAAAGGGCCAAACCTATCAATTGAGGGTTACCCCCAAAGCCTCGAAGATGAAAACCAGCGCTAAAAAGGATTTAGAAAAAAACTGCGCCCATACTCCCCTTCCCACGGTGGTCATTACGCAGGCTACGTCATCTCACAGCGATGCTTGAAACGCAGCTTAATTATTGAGCATTACTCTGAATAACACTGCTGGGGACACGTGTTGGAAAGCAACAGAGAGAATCCGTATGCGTGCGTGATATGTTTAACCCTCGCTTCGAGGGCATTCCCAACACAAGCCTGTCTCCCTCGATCCTCCCCGCCCCCCTTTCCCACCTTCTGCCTCGATAGCCTTGTCCTTCTTCTCCTTCTTGATCTTCTTTGGTTGTTGCGGCTGCATGTCGCCAGCGTCCTCCACCTCCTCGATCTTGCGCTTCCTCGACACCGACGGGAGCGTCGAGTCGCCGGACGGGTCGTATGTCCTCACCATGCTGGGGAGGGAGGGGGGGAGGGTGACGAGACAAACCCCGTCCCAACAGCTTGTGATCAAAGCGAGACGAACCACGTTTGAAAAAGCTCAAACTTACTCTCTTTAATATATTTTTCTACCTACGTGACTTTACAGAAAGAACCAAAGAGCATGGATCCCTGCAGTCACGAAAACTTCAAATCTCGATTTTACTCGAAAAAAAATCGCACGCACGCCTAAAAAAAAATCAACAACCTTAACACGCGCGTACGCATTGTCAAATATTCTGGAAGACTGTTGTCGTTTTTTTGTGCTCTTGCCGTTTTATTTTTTAAAGCAGGCCCTCAGAAGAGGTAGTGACTGATAAAACCCTCATTATTCATCAGGTTATCATACAAGTATCATCAGCGGGCTGCATATCAAGAAAGCAACACAGGCAAAAGCACAACTTTTTATTCACTTATGTTGTAAAAGCCTCACGGAGTCTCAAAGAGCGATTTTCAGGGAGAGGGGTCCTGCTACGTGTCACAGTCGGGAAGTAATCACAGTCGGGTAGTAAAAAAGATTGGTTTGTGTTTTTGCAATTCTGGAGATGTGACAAAAGCTTCACAAGGCCTTTGTCCAGCAGCAGATTGACCAGGGCTAATAATAATGATGATAATGTACACCTACTCACCTCTTGTGCTGGTACTTTTCAAACTTGCTCAACGTTTTGCCCGAGCCGCTGATTCGCTGAATCTGAAAATTAATCAGAACGGATAAGACAAAAAGTATTTAAGTGGCAAGGCATTGTAGCAGGCAAGGTCTCAGGACGAGGTTGTGACAAAGCTCTCAGGATTCATCAACGACACGGTAAACTGTTCAGCACAATGCCCAACATGCTTGGGGAGCCTTTTTCAAGCAACTGAATTCAATTCCTCAGGAAGCTGCAAATCGGTCACATGTCGAAGGACGCACGGTACAACCCGAAAACACGTTGAAGATTCACAAAGTGTGCACCCCACGCAGTAACCGTTTCATATTCACATTTTGTACGACGGTTAAAATAAGACCCCCACACACTCGGGCAGGTGCAGCAGCATTCCTTACCCCCTTCTCTTCCAGCTCCCGGAGCCTAGCCTCCAGTTTGGTCCGGTTTTCCAGGCCCATCTCGGACGTCGTATCCTCCCCAAGCGCATCGTAGCGGATCGCCAGAGCGGACTTTGCTGCAAGCATTCGCGAGATCTGTCACGTAAACAAAAAAACAAGGCACTCGCGGTTTCAAAAGCAAATACAATTCCCAACTCTTACAAGCTGTCTGGCCAGTTTAGAAACACCCAATGTTTTAGAGAGGCTATCCAGAGCTTGGCACTAGCAGAGCATTGGCGTTGAGCAAGCACTTGCCGGGCAGCACCTTTGCCTTTTATAATTACCAAATCGTCCTCGGATGCCCATGAAAATTTTATAATAAATGATGAATATGCATTCGCTGGAAATGCCTGCACTTGACCAGATTACTTAAGCAATTCCCAGTACGTGGGGGAAATAAGAGAGGAGTTCATGGGCAATCCATAACTAGTGCAAGCATTAAACAAAAAAAACACTTTAAAAATTACAACGTAAATTTCCTCTCAACTGCACACATTTTTTTATTTATATTTTACAAGGATAGGCTCACTTTAAGTGCCATGTGGATTATTACACATTGCAGGACCGAAAGATGGCAATGGCTTTAGGAGGGCCTCCACACAGCAGTTGAATCCATCATGGCCAACGTTGATGCTTTGCAACAGCCTTTAAAACACGACGGCAGCGTACTCACCTTTCCTTTGTTCTTTGGTGTCGTCTGTCCCACCAGCGAGGCGTGGTAGATGAGGCCGTACTTGGGAGTGTCGTGCTGCGTCTTGAGGGCCCTGAAGAGAGCCTTCTCTGCCCCCAAGATCTGTACCGTAGAGGCCGGGTGCTTTGCCAAGTTCAGCAGGGAACCTTTTAAACGATGGCACAAACAGAGCGAATGAGGAGCCAGAATTCGCAGATATGGCAAATGTGCCCTGAACACGAACGATATCAAAATGCAACGTTCCACAAAGTGACGCCAGTGCCAATTTTTCCACTGGCTATTTGAAATGAGAAGCTGGCTTCACAAGGCCAAGCGGCGAGAAATCACCTGCGTGGGCGACGAGACGAGCCCCCACCAGCTCGCCCACCATGATGGTGAGGTTGGGAGCGATTGCCATCATGCGGTTCTTCAGGTAGTCGTACAGCTGGGCTCGGTACTCGGTGATCTCAATCACCTGAGGGCGCACGTACCACAACGAAGCAAACGCGAGGATAGATTTTAGCGAAGAATTTGCAATGTCTGTTTCGAACTAGGCGAGACAAACTAAGGTCCATCCTCTAACAGGTTTGAGTCTGAAAAGCAAATCAACCTCTTTGCCGATTAGATTCCCTGAAGACATCTTAAATGCTCGTATTGAGTGATGGCGATTTTTATTCATTTACAAGAGCAGCGACGCGTACACAAATCCTTATTGGGGAGTACTCCCTCCATAGTGGTAACTTTAACACAACATACTCATTAGAGAAAGTATTTCCAGATTTGCACGCCAACTATAAACGAGTTGCTTTCCTAGTGTGCATTAGCGTGCTGTCCATGACGTATATATGTGCTGCCCGCAAACGTATCATATTAGCTCAACACAAAGGTGGGCAACACGTTCAACAGAATGTCCACCAATGAAATCGGTTGGTGTGCAAGAGCTAGATGGATTATCGGAGTGCACGATCAAGAGATATGGGCTATGGCTCGGGGAGACCTGGCATTTATCCATCAGTGGCTAGATCGTGAACCGGTGGCGATATTCTACAAAACACCGACGCAATTGTGAAGACTAAAAACACAGCAGCGTTCCTCGGACCTGTTCAGAGAGGAAGGTGATGTTTGTGATGTCCTCGTCCGACACCTCGGTGCCCATGGAGATCTCCGCCGCAGCTTTGACATCGGCTT